TTACGGAGTGAATATATAAAGTAGCCTGGAAATAAATAGAAACAACAAATAAGTGTTGAATTAAAAAAGGGTTTAAGAAAGTTACAGGTTGTATCGATTGAATGAAATAGTTCATATGAATAGAAAGGGCTATCATAGCCTCCAGCTCCAAGCAGTTATAGACCGCCAAAAATTATTTATTGATCTGTATTGTGCTGAACCCGGTTCTCTCGATGATGCCACAGTGTTGAGGAAATCATCATTATATAAGAAAACCAACTGAAAATCCTCAATACTTTCACAAGTGCTATTTGTTTGGCGATTCAGGATATCCCATTCTAGAATGGCTTGTAGCTCTATTTAAATATCATGGGATGTTGACAAATCAACAAAAACAATTCAATTATAAACTTTCACCTTCAAGAATTGTTGTTGAGCACACGTTTGGTTCAGAAGGTTTTGACATTTTTAAAATAAACATAATTGTTAAATGTTTTACGGCTGTCTACATTCTACACAACATTTGTATTTTTTAAAATGACCTCATTCCCAGTGGAGGGAATGGTTATAATAATTGTGGTCACATGGGATAAACCTTATGGCAGTCATTATTGAAATGGGTAATAGGGGGGTCAAAACAAGTTAAAAAGTTCATATGACCCGTGGTCCAAAAGTCAATAGATTTTTGTCTAAATGGCTTTATAGTTTACAACTTTGAGTGCTTTATATCGACCACAATCACCATTACTAATTTTTATAATCTAATCTAAAACGTTTTTAAATTAGGTAATTAACAAATAAATGGCATTAAGTTTTTCTAAGCCAAAATTTGTAGTCAGTAAGTCTCATTAAATTAAATATTTAACACACACATGATAAGAGCGCGTCGGTCTTTCATCACTCTTATCGAACCGGTAATCGATCGCAAGCGGTAACAGTGGTTAGTTATCGTTTTGTTTTTGTTCGCGTACCTCATCGTGTTTATTTACAATGTTCTCGAATCACGAGTTCGCCGACATGTTGTTAGTTTACGGTGAAGCTCGTCAGAATTCAAATCTTGCAGCTCACATTTATCGTGACAGATTTCGCCAACGGGTACACCCAGACAGAAGGACATTTGTGCACATGTACCAAAGACTTCGAGATACAGGAAGTGTTCAGCCCACTAATATTCGCACTCGTGAAAGACATGTTACTGTAAAGCAGGAGGAACAAATTTTAAATATCGTGGAGATCAATGCAGATATCAGCACTCGGGAATTAGGTCGCCGCGTAGGACTATCGCATACCATAGTCCATAGAATCCTACGGGAAAATTTGCTTTATCTTTACCATGTACAACGAGAGTAGGCCTTGTTACCAGAAGACTATTCTCGCAGACTAACATTCTGTCTGTGGTTTTTGCACAAAAACATAGAAAATCCGATTTTTTTCACAACATTCTAGCGACGGATGAATGTACTTTTACACGAGACGGGATATTAAATTTCCATATTACTCACACGTGAGCCCAAGAAAATCCTCATACCATTCGTGAAGGTCATTTCAAACAACGTTTTAAAATGAATATTTGGGCGGGTATTCTTGACGATCAGGTAATTGGCCCTTTCGAGTTACCCCCAAAGTTGTCAGGAGAAGGATACCTTAGCCTTCTAGCCACTTACCTACCAGAACTTTTGGAACAAACCTTAAGCAACATGCCATTACAACGGAGACAGAATTTGTGGTTTCTTCATGAAGGGGCACCACCACACATTTTTAGAGGCGTCATTCAGTATTTGAATGAACATTATCCAAATCGCTGGATCGGCCGAAATGCTCCTGATCCTCGAAAATGGCCAGAAAAATCTCCTGACCTCAATCCGATGGATTTCTGATATTGGGGAGAACTTAAAGGGATGGTTTATGGGGCTGGACCAATAACAACTGAAGCACAAAAAAAATTTTAATGCGGCTGAAATAATAAATGCACAACTTCCAGGACCTAGAGTAAGAAGAAACTGGGTTCGTCGTAATGAAGCTTGTGTGGAAAGTGGAGGACGACATTTTGAATACAAAAAAGGTGCAGTGTGGGTTTTAAGAAGAAAAACAATGTACATATGTATCAAAATTGTGTTCCCTATTTATAAGTGGATTTTTTTAATACTTTCAATAAACTTTCACACACCAGTTTTTTTAACTATTTGCATTATACGAGTACATTATCAAATAATGAAATAATACCTAAGAGCCAAAAATAACATACTCCATCTTTATTTACACTGCGTTCCATCGTAATTTGCGTTTGTCATTGCGGCGTTGTTATTTTACTTTAAAGTCGCTTTTCTCTAAAAAAATGCTGTTTTGACCCCCATGAAACTTTTTGCTTCTTTCAACCCCCTCTATCACCCATTTAAATAATGTCTGTCACAACGTTTACACCCTGTATTATTAGTGCACCCATTAATCGTACAGTTGAAAATCGAGTGTTTGATGAGTTGAACATTTCAATCTCATAATTGGTTTTGATCTATTTATCATTTGATATATTTTATTTTATTTATTGACTCGCTTTTTACTAACCTGTGAATAAACAGATGGCTTAATTTGAAAATGTGTTTCATTAACATGTTTCAAATCAACCACATGTTAACAAAAAACGCTATTTGAACAGACAAAACAAATACTTTCTTGCTGATAAATCAAAAAAGCACCACCCATAAACAACTGAAATCCTAATGCTTAGCAATAATGCATAACGTGTTAACATAACAAAAAAATCCTTCCTCTACGAACAAACGGAACAAATAGAAATAGAATAGAAACTCTAAAAGCACCACTGGAGAACAAATAGAAGTCTAATGTCTTTGTAACTACTCTTTGGAGAGAACAACTGTTTCCTTGGATGGCATTCACATTATAGTATATCCCATTCTGATATGTTCATTGGCAATACTATCAACAACATGTTTTCTCTTTTTTTGATGATGTAATTCATCTTGATAATCTTTCATAGCTCGTATTAATGCTAATGTTTCCTTAAACTGTCACATTTTATGTTGGAAGTTTTCATTTGGTTCTTTAGACGCAGATTTCGTTCCATTTTGTCAGAGATTGCTTCAATTGAAAATGTTGCATTCTCGGCAGTCTGATAGCTTTCGTTGGTATAAATGCTTTCTTCTAGATCTCTGAATCAACTCCGACACAAACTGCGCACATCTGAAAGGATTGGGAATTATTCTTCTTCTTGTGGATTCTCGAGGCTCTAACTCTTCATTAGTTAATAACACAAAGCTCTAATAATAAAACTGTGAAACACCTTTTGCCTTTATTTTTAGAAGCATTTTCTGACTATACAACTGATGCCTGATGATGGTCGCAAGTGTAAGTGTAAAATTCAAATTTTGAAGTGTAGACCTTCAACATTAATTTATATAGTATCTAATTAGATGAAGCCAACTACAAGACGCTGTGCACTTGCCTTCTTGCGCTGTCTTGTCTTTGTTATTTTTGTTATCCCTACTATTTCAGAGCATATAACACTGAATACAAATCTAGTGCATGAGGGGGCAGGGGAATTCAATTAGTAGCTCAGGTGCATGACACTCTAAAGGAGTGGAACAGTATTACTAGGTGTTGGACAGTTCCGAGTTACTCGGACTATCAAAAATGAGGCACTGCAAGGCAGCTCAGATACATCTCGCAATCCCTCGTGGACATACGGCTAATCTCCGTCTGAATCGTTGGATTAAACAGGGTCGGGATAATAAATCGATGTTTATAATCAAACACGTCCTCCATCATTTACAAGTAGACGCTTCATAACCATAAGATTAAAAATAACTTTTGTTTTTGATAATTCGTTTTTGGGCCCTGTAACGCAAAGGCAACAAGTTTTTTAGTTCTAGAAATTCGCTCTATGATTGTAGTTATTTTATTTCAACGCTTTTCAAACGACTCCGTAAGTACCATGAAAAAATGCATACGTTTACTATTACTATATGTTCAAATCACAAGAGATACAGGGAGTGAAGCATGTTTAGCTATCAAAAAATAGTGAAGATCACCGGGAATCTGGCCAATTTTGATAAGTTAATCACAAGAGGTCATCGCTGACAGCGACATAACGACAACGGCCTATGACCGAACGACCTAAATTCGATACTGATTTTGTGCCTTTTACATCGGCACACGAACATGTTGGCTGCGACCGTCGTAGATGCAGAGACGCTTCGTGAAAATATTTTTCTATCGTTCTAAGGGCAAATGTACCGGGCAAACTATGATGTGTTAAATATGCCTAATAGTTGCGTAGAATGTTTGGAGTTGGTAGCGTATTAAAATACCAACTTCAAATAATTGCAATACAGCTTCCCTCACCTCTCCACGGTCCCCACCCATTCTTTACCTCTAAGAAGTATCTCAAAAATGGCCAGGGTAATCCGAAAGGTCAAAGAACGAAGTTTATTTTTTCGTTTTTGACATTTTTCTCCGTCGCTACTGGTCTGGTTTTCAAAAACTACAATAATTTTTATCCTTGGCATAGTAGTAACCCATTGTGAAATTTTCATAAAAATCCGTCGGGTAATTACCAAGTTATAGAAGGCCAAGCATTATCGAACAGACAGATTGTCAGACACCAAAAGACCCACAGACCGACTCAAATGAGTGACATGGTTTTCATGGTGTATATGTCATATAACCCAGAAAAACGAATACCTCGTTTCCGGAATTTTTCGTGCTCACAATACTTCCTTGCCTTTGGGCGGGGGAAGTCATCACGTATGTCTGTCCGCTAGCAAAAATGCCCGGATAGAAGATATTTATGTGTGAAGGAGATCGTTCCATAAAAAAAGTTCCTGTAGTTGTACTGTGAACCACAAAAAAACGTGCTAGGACTTTAGATAAACTCTACTTTATCCTGTACAGGTCAATTTAGACAATTTCAGCCAAGCTTTTAGTAACAAGTTCTCCACGCAAACCTTGTTTGTTGAACCACCTGAGAAACGTGTGGGGATAACTTAACGTCTGACAATTTCCGTATGTCATCATAACATTTGGTAAGTCACTATCATCTCATTAATAATTTCAAAATACTAAAGTTCACAGTAATAATATCTACAATGGGGGAGAAACTGGACGAGAATTTCTTTTACAACACCATGTTAACTAAAGCCCTGATACAACTACTTCCGCCCTTCGGTAAGCAGTCAAGTCTTAATGCTCAGTCGTCCTTTGCTTACAAGTATGTCGCAATAAGCTTTGTTAAGTTTAGATTCTATGGTCGAAGACATTCTCTAATTTACCTATACTTATATATACCTTAGAACGAAGGGCAACCCTAATGTGGTTTGAAAAGCTGTTGACTATGGATAAATCTCAAGAGGAAAAAGAAATGAGAAATGAGTATTTGTGGTTCATTTTGCTCATGCTCCAATGCCAAAAGATCAGAGAGCCGTTCAATAGGCCCCCACCAGACGAAATGGAGCCACTTAGGGATATTGTGGTACGTTCAATTTATTTCATGTGCTTAGCTAAAAGCATTGGTTCTAAGCGTAAGTAAAAACCGCAGTTAAATTAAATCCTATCCTATGTCAACATCTTAACTTTGAGAAATCTTATTATATTATCAGTTATTTACACAAACTTTTCTCATTAAGTGGACAACTTACTACAATATTGACATTTGAAATATGTATTTAAGTATACTTCTCTGCGAGTTTATTTTCAGGGTACCGAGCAGATTAGATTCAGTAAATACGTTACACAAATATGTATATGGTTTTTACTATACGCTCACCAGAACACAGTTTCTAACTTTGTCCTCTAACTGAACCCTCAAAGAGCTTGAATTGCTTTAATCGTAGAAGGGTGCTGAAAGGGAGATCAATAACATTGAAGTTTGTCAAATATAAAGTTTTAAGACTGATTTTTTTTTATTTTTTTCATTCAAATGTTAATGCAATTTTATACTGTCACCCTCAAAATAACTTGCTTCTGAAGCGGCACAGCGCTGCAGACGGTTCCTCACAGCAGTTTTGAAACTCCGATACTGGAATAGCCCTCAGCTGGTCGGTTACAACCGTTTGAATGTTTTCGGCTGTCCTAAAATGAGTTCCCTTGAGGTGATTTTCCAACCTCGGGAAGAGAAAAAAGTCACAAGGGCTCAAGTCAGGCGAACACGGAGGATGATGAACTTTTTTACTGGCGAAAAACTCGTTTATTTTCATTGCTTTGTGACAAGTAGCATTATCGTGGTGCGACACTCAGTTGTTCTTGATCTGATGAGCGGTGGTTTGAGTCAAACTTAACTCTATACTGATCATTATGACTGTTCTTCGACGATCTGAATGGACAAGATCCCGGATTCTGTCGATATTTTCTTTACTTCTTGAAGATGAAGTCCTTCCACTTCGTTTTTCATTTACAATCGACTCTTTCCTTTCTGAGAATGCCTTTAAGTACCGAAAAACCTGGGCTCTTGAAAAAAGACCATCTTCGTAGGCCTGCTGAAGTTTAGCAAGAGTTTCCGTTGCACTGTGTCCAAGTGTGAAGTAAAACCTCTTAGCACACAGTTGTTCGGAATTGATGTCATTGTCATTGTACTGAAGGCGGCTCACATGTTCCCCTGACTCCCCTCCAAGCCCGGCGCCTCCAGTGTTGCCAGATCGAACGCTATGTTGTCAGTCTCATCACTTAGATTACAGATCTCTTATGCTGTTAACGGGGAGAAGTAGGTGCAGTCTGGCAACCGGAAGCACATTCTTCCAGATCGTCTGTCATGTCTGTACTTTTAAGCGTGCTTTTTTTTTGTGAAACTAATATTACACTAGTGTATACTGATGTTCTTTGATAGAATGAGTGTACATATTCGTTTTTTTTTTCGTCCAGATTTCGAACTAGTTTTACGTTCAGTACAGAAATATCGCACGACCTGAAGATTAGCTCCTACTTATGTTATCAATAATCAACTGTCAACAGTGTCACATTTTACTGCTTTTACGTGTAACTTTGCATGTAACCATTTTTTAAGTCAATCTTTTCATGATTTTATTTGCTCGTCTTCGAAAAATTACAACAACAGCACGGGAAGGTCAACAAACTGAGAGACAAATTATCATCGACAGATTGGCACGAAACACAAAATTACGGACGTGGTATGTTCTTTTGGGGGCAAGTTTTGAACTGGAGCAGCGTGTTACATACACGAAATTGCACCACTTTTGACAAGAAAACGGTATACTTAACAGCATTCTCCCGTGTTCTATCTAGCCAGCAAAGGTATACGAAGAGATACTGATTGCAAACGACGAAAATATGGAATGGTTAGAGAGACCGGACTCTCAAAGGAAAAGTGTCCAGTTCAATCAAACTGCTCCACCACAATTTTTCCAGAATCAACCTACTCCAAAAGAAGGAATCATCTGCTACATTGCTGCATTTAGTGATAGATCCATCTAAGGTCACTGTTGATATACCAGTATCCGTTTTTCAAATATGCCAACCATTATACAGAAAAGTAATACACTCTTCACAGTAATGATGAAGTAATTTTGTGATCTTAGACTTTCCAGGAAATCTAGCTTTATTATTAATTAATATATTAATATATGGTCGACTGGTGTTTGGCCATGCTTCTACCGACTACCCCTCCCCCCCTCCGCAACAGGCGAGGAAACACTATATTTGCAAGGTTACCCCACATAAATTCTGTTCATTCTGCTACACTATATAGACGGACACGGTCGGATCCCAGTCACAGTCACGGACAAAAGTCACTGACCACTTTACAAACAAACACCTAGGGGCAAAAAAACAGAAAAATGAAAATCCTTTGCCTTATGACGTTTTAGAGGTTCCTGCTCATTTTTGACAATATCTTTTGAGTGATTAAAAATAGGAGTAAGGCATTGTAAGGGGTGGGAGAAGATGTATTTTTTGGCGTTAGTACATCTAAACGCTTTCAACCCCGTTAATTCTACATGAGTTATAAGAACACACCTAGAATCAAATGGACAATATTACTGTCGATTCTAGATACGGAAGCAGAGAGTTAGATGTCAGAAGCCTCGGGGAAATAGATACAGACTCAGAAAATTATTTAGTAAGGGCATAACTTCGGTTCAGATTAACACACAACTTTGATAAAACCAAAACCAACACCAAGTGGAACATAAACCGAATCCAAGCGAAAAATCAAAATTTCTGGGATATTTACCGCGGTTATAATGTAGTTTAAAGATGAGACACGAGTTGATGACGTCAGCTACTCGAATCACTTGATTGACCGCGGTTTTGTTGCAAGTTCTTTATTTTAGAAAAGTGCGTATATAATTTCTCTTTATTTTTATTATTACTTAATAGTCGGTGCTTTTTCGTCTACAACAGTGCTATGGAAAGCATAAAAAAAACTTTCGTAATATTATTGGGAGAAATGTTTTTTTCAAAAGATATTGTTCAGGTGTTAAATCACTTGAGAAAACCTTCAGACAAGATTGTCGTGAAAATAAAAAATATGATGGTCAAAATTTCATTGGTACAACCATGGTTTTGTAGCTATGATAACTTTCAATTCTTTAAACTTTTCCGCATGTCAAAAAAATATTTATTGATTTAGCAGAAATGATAGGACAAAGCGATGGAAAAGGATATTAGCAAAACCGTATACAGGTGGTCACTATCCAGTGAGCTTATATGGCCATATTTTGATCTCCTTGTGGTATTATACACAGGATACTTTGTTAAGTATATGCACTAGATGTAAAGTCTCCCCAACAGCAGTAATGGGTATAGCTAATAAGGTGCACTACTTTATGCTAAAACTGAAGTCAGCCTGTATCAAGTTTCCCAAAAATGAAGCTGAAGTACAACAAAAATATCCAATACCCGCCAAAATTCTAACTTGTCACATTTCAAATAATAACCAGAAGTATAAAACTACTCCGGAGTTGGGTAAGTACCACAATTTTACGGTGATAACTATGACATATAATAGCTGCTTGATGACGTCACTAATCTGATAACCAAACTGATAACCATAATCGCTTGAACGGATCGGTAAATACCAATCCAAATGGTAAATACTATTCTCGTTTGGTTTTTCGCTTGTATTTGATCATAGGAAACATAAAAAAGAGCAATAGGTAAAGTATGAGCACGAGGTCGATTATGGTTTTGAAGATATATGCAGTACCGATGGGGCTGAGGAGGCGTGGGAAGCAGCGCCAGTGGAGAAATCGGGGATGAGTGTAGCAAAACAAGTATTAGGAAAAAGGAAGAGAGAAAAAGGAACAATTGGTTTCATGAGTGAAAAGAGAAGGACTATGTCACAGAATGACACAAAAAGAAAGCAACTCCAAAATCCGCAAGGGTACTATAAAGGTTATTAGAAAGAATAGAGAGGAACATGAATAGACGTAATACGAAATTATCGAGAGTAATATCCTGAAGCCGAGGTCTGGACGATTTTATAAGACAACTTCTAACGACAAAATACCAAACACTTTTTGAGTTCCCAAGACAACGGAGATCACATTGTCAATGAAATGGAACTCAACTTAATTTCGAGAAATTGCTGGACGTAAAACATGAAGCGATGACATTGGGTATGTGGTATAATAAGAAATTCAAAGGCACCAGAATGCGTTGCTTGAATAGGGTAGGAGTTTAACAGTATCATCAATAATCTGGTTATCGATTTCCGACAGCCTATAACGTCATACATAGACAACTATGGAATGCGTTGGCTAAATTCTCGATTCTATCAACATAATCAATATATGAGTAGGCAGCAGTTCATCCAAGGCACGAAGAAATAATCATTTATCTGAGGCTTTCAATATAATTACTGGTCTTAAGCAGGGAGATGCCCTAACTACACCTCTGTCCACTTTTACTTCCTGGCGAGGAAGTATTGTAATCGAAATTGAGATGCCTTTTTTGGAGGTTAGGTATATGACATGTGCACTATGAAAAACCATGCTCGCCAGGTTACCAGTACTTACTATTACTACTTTGAATACCGGTCTAGTGGCGGCGGAGTTAGCGGCAAAATCAAGAAAAAGATATCGCTCAGACTTCTTATTGGACGTTTCAGAGGCTCCTGATCAATTTGTAGTGGTTAAAACTTGGAGGATGAGGGTTGTAGTGGGTAGGGGGTTGAAATTGTTAAATCTTCAGAATTAGTCAAAGATGTTCTATCATTAAGATGCTGCTGATCCCGGTAACAACGGGAAAATAAAATGATAAAACTTCGACGTATAGTGCTTATCATAATTCGACATAACTTGCAATCGTCGTTGCGTGCACGGCGCGATGCTTCATCTCAGTGGTCGCCACTGCCGACTGTGCTAGGAGTGACAAGCTTCAACTGTCCAATCTGCGTTGGTGCCGCCACAGACACACCGCTACAGGAGAATAACTATGGTATACAATTTTAAGTGATGACTTGACCGTTTTCATATCTACACTTATATTTTTTCGGATTTCTATAATCCTTGCATGAACATCAGGTTGAGTGGCTCAGTACTTATGATGCATTGATATCCAACAGTCAATACGGACTACCAAACCGACATAAAGGAACACAGAGTTGTGTGATGCATATATCTATCAGCAACAGAAAACTTGTGAACTGAAGTTCAAGTATTATCGCGAGTTTAATATTTCAATCGTTTAGGTAGTCGCAGATTTTGAAAATTGGTTCAGAGGCGGCGGAGCTACGGACAAAGAAATCAAATCGCTGAAACTTGGTGTTACAATGTTTCAGAGGTTCATGTTTCATTTAGAAACATTGTTTGGAGGGGCTGAAATGGTAGATTTGAAGTTGTACACGGTGAATTGTTGTATGTTTTTGCATATTTCGTGTCAGTAAAAGATCTTCTGTTATTAAGAAGCTGCTGATCTCACTGATACTATGCACCTGTTAGACATAATAAGCAACACGTTTCCCCTACATCTACCATGGAGACAGAAATATGATAGACCTGCTTTATATATAGCCTTATATGCAGATGTCGAAGTTTCATCGCACCTAAGTCAACTTACCTCATCACCATTCGATTTCGTCTTTTGAAACGACTACTTGTCTTGAAATGATGGAGTTTAGAGACAATTTACTTGACGCCCAGTACCTCACAGCTGAGTGACCGAAACTTCTCTTAACATACGCGGATAATATTGCGCGGAAAAAGGTGAGGTTAAGAATTAATGAAGACAAGGGAGAAAGGACAGAATAGAGCAAACGGTAACAATAGACTTCTACAGATTTGAGAGTGTTAAGAGTTTCAGGTACCTTGAAGCGATGATCAACGCCAGCAATGGCATCACTGAAAATGTCAAAGGAAGAATACAATCTGCGAATAGACGGGCGTTCTCTCTTTACAATTTTATTAATTCGAGAAATCTCACACTCTCCTCTACGATCATGATTTATAGGACCCATTGAGATGTATGGCAGTGCAACACGGACGATGTCAAAAGCCAATGAAGAATATATAAGGTGCTCCGAACGCAGAGTACTGCGTAAGATTTTTGGAGCCCTACAAGACCCAAACATGAATACCGCATAAAACCGAACATCGAAATCAGACATGGTACAAGCCATCAAAGCACAGCGATTGAGATGGGCTGGGTATGTTTAAAGACTTAACAAGGATCGGTTGGTAAAGTTGATCTAGGAGGAAGAACCAGCTGGTAAAAAGCCTCTAGGTGGTCGCTGTATGAGATGGTGGGATAACGTGAAGACCAGACCAGATGCAGTCAAATTGTGACGTAAGTCAAAAGGCACCCGGGGTTGTAGCGCTGATTGTAGGTAAGTAGGTAAGTACAGATTTCACGCATCATGGATTTTCACTAATATTTTCCCTTCAAACAGAATTATAGGAGATTATTTTCATCCGACGCGTCACGTATCCATCGCACGGCAACGCAACGGACGTATATACGTAATTATGTTGTGGCGCCCTTTTTTCGCTGCTGGGGAGCCTCTTAGGGAAAGGTAGAATTTCGAACGCTAAAGTACAGAGACAACACTGTGATCTCGAAATAGGATGCCTGGGCAGCTACAGTGAAGAAAAATATTCTAGGGGTCAGTTACTTGTCGGGAACGCACTTTTACCTTTTACTGAGTTTTTGCTTATGCCTTTCTGACTTTCTACTTCTTAGTAAAAACAAGTCTTCAACCAGAACTCGGTTTATTAGCAGCGTCATTCAAACTTCAACTTATCTCAGACGTAACAGATTCTCAAGCTATGACGTAGTAAGGGTGTGCTCGAAAGCTCTTGTAGATAAATGTGCAAGCATTTGTAGTCATATGCATTTGTGAAAACAAAGCTCGGAAAATAACGGTACCTACAATTCTGACCCAAAATAAACACAGACAAACTACAGAAACTTTCCCGGCACTACCCGGCCAACACGGTGCACTTTCGGACACTGCTTACCACTGTTTAGAGGTCACCACTTCACTGGAAAATCCTCGAAATGGTACTCTAGTTGGCAGGGCTTGTCCTTCTTCCGCTCGACTGCGATCTCAAAATT